GAGGGGGCGGTGGCGGAGGAGGCGGTGGATGTGGAGTATGCATGGGATGTGATGGGTGCGGATTGTGATCTATTAATAAAATTGTTTATAAAGTTTGAGTTATATCTAATTAAATAAATAGATTAATAAAAACCAAATTGATTTCCATAGCGATCCTCATCCATAATGTCTTTGTTTATGCGATACAAACCATCGTTCAAACGGACGAATGATATAAAACATAATAATATTAATACGAATTTTATCATCTTAAAAATTTGCATATGATAATAAATTAACTCATAAATATATCTAGATCAAATGATAGTATTAGATTAAGTAGGCAACTCACTTTTATATCTATTCCCTAAATTAAAAACATATGTTTATTTATTAATTATAATAGAAATTAGATATAATAAATAAATAATAGCCAAATTAAGATTAAAATATAATATATTGTTTAATAAAACATATTATATATAATTTGGACTAAATTAGTATAATAAATAATTAATACAATAGCGTAAAGTATTATTCAAATGTTTTAATTGTTTGCATTAGTTTAATACTATTTATCAAAAAGTAAAACTTGAACACAATTGATATTAATAGATAACACCGGAACTAATAAATACATAATTTAATTATAATTAAATAAATTTAAATATACAATATTTTTTATCAGAATTGCTTATACTTAACGTACAGAATAATTACATTGTTCTTTTTACTGTACCAATCTAATTTTTGTGATATATAAATTTGTAATATTTTGACTTTAAGCAAATTGTTGACCATAGATGGGAAAAATTCACCTTTATTCAAGATTGGTACATTTATACATTTAATATTATTTATAACACAATTGATTATAACAAGAATATTTAATTATAAAACTGATTAATAATAATAGTAAATATAGAGGCAAATAATATAGTAAATGACAAAATGACCGAGGTGCCCGTATTGCGTAAAACCATATAGTTTGAATAGGAGTTGAAACTAAGTCCGCTGGTCGTATTCCTATACGTGAGTTCGCATCTATACATTCCCGAAGTTAGCCTGGTAGCATTTCCTATTTTAACATGCACTATTGGCGGTTGTGTAGATGATTGCAACCAGGTTATATTTCTAACTCCTTGAGTTCTATCAAACGACCCTGATGATGTGATAATTAAATAAATGTTTAACATTAAATTCATAATTAAATAAAATAAATGTTTAGACATACTTTGACCAAACATGTTAAGAGTAGCGAATGCGTGTTTGTCCTTGGTCAGTGATAGCGATACTAGACTTTGTTTGCCGACCACTAGTTTAGACTCGCAGTGAACACTAATACTGCCGTTAACTTTGAATACTTTTGGCATAATATTTAGTTTAACTGTAATATAAAATATGGTAAAAATTATTAATTAACATTAAAATACATGATATACAGTACATGTAAACTTTATATTTATTTCGGTTGCATTTTTTATTTACCCTTTGGTTGTTGTTCTGTAAGGCGTTGCTTAAGATATTGAGGTGGCATTGGGTGCCGCACATCATCGGTGATGGCTATTTTCAATTTCTTTGAATACCAACCCTTATGTTTATTGAAATATACAAAGCATTCATATGTGCCCGACGTTGACTTGTTTGCGTTATTAATTGCAAAGTGTCCTGGTCCTTTATTGTATATTCTGTTTATGCCATGCACCTTTGTAAATACTGGATCTGTAAGTATTTCAAAATTATTGTTAGTTTATAAATCTCTCTCTTTTCTCTCTCTCTCTCTCTCTCTCTCTTACTGAAGCAGATCTGTAAGTATTTCAAAATTATTGTTAGTCTCTCTCTCTCTCTCTCTCTCTCTCTCTCTCTCTCTCTCAGACTTACTGTGTTTAGTCTTATTATCGAAATGATAGAAAAGTTTATTGTCCTTAAAAATGCTAAAACTGGCGAAAAACTCTTTCCTCGCATTCAATGTGTAATTACAAAGTAAATCAAAATTCATGGGATGTTTGGACGTCGGCGTGGCTTTGAATGTGATGTTAGACCCGTTTGCGCCGCTCATAATCAACACATTTATCACACATATTACGAACGTTATGTATGATATGTGAGACATTATGTTTATAATGATGATTTTTCACACAACAAATAGGCTGATTGTTTTTCAATTATTCATCCAGAATAATAAGTTACTTGTTTAGATTACTTTGATTATTATCAGTGGTGACGATGATTATCACTGAAATTATGCCAGAATTTGATTGTTTGCCAAAATATATACTTGAAATCAGTGTTTACCACAACTATTTATGTTGTTGTTTCAGACATTTACATCGTGTGTTTAAACATAGCCTAACATTACGATTGCATAATAGATATGAAATAACATTAACTGCTATTATATTCTTTGATATCGTTTATGACTTATATATTTTTGTGTGTTATTTGGTATACATTTTTTGATGTACCTGTAATTATCATACGATAAGCTGAATCACACACTTAACTGCATTGTTATATTTGATATACATTTAGGTTTTATGTGTTCAGTGGTATCAGTAATGAGATGTTTTAAATAAATGTTTTTAAATAAATTTCAATTAACTTTCTTTGTGTTGGTATTAATATATTATAATAATATGTTGACGTATATTAAATAATAAAATTTTAATTAAAAATTTATAACAATATATTTTTAATGTTCTGATATTTACACCACTAACGGGTGGTTACAATCGTTATACTAAATGACAATTTATCAATATTGATAAAAATACTTAATCATTGTGAAATATGTAGCATATAAATGGTATAGTGCACTGCATAACATTTTACAATCAGATTATGATTGAATTCTAGGTAAAATAACATTAAAATCATAAATGCAATTAAATTAACAATTTTATATTAGAATAAATAATGTAAAAAAATTACAAATTTAGTTTAGTGACTATTAATTAAAATATCATCTATGTACTTAATACATGAAATAATGATCATGTTGAACATAATGGAAAAAGGCCACTAATCTTTAAATGTGTCACTTCTCTGATCAGTTGAGGTATAGTATGTGTGTCTCTCTTACTGAAGCCAAACAGTATCCGGTGCTCAACGAAAAACAATTCATTCAATGTATTCAATAAATTCAAGAATTTTACGTTTGCCGTACATTCAGATCGATATTTTAAGTTCAAATATCGTTTCAATAAATACATGTAGATCTTTTGCTCCATTCTGTTCGGGGTAATAATGAAATAAACAGGTTTTAATGAACCAGCCAACTTTTAGCTAGTTTAAATTGGTAGTGCAAGTATTAAAAAAAACGTACTTAATTGGCTCCGCGTTTTCAAGATCAGGATGATCAGGGTTGAATAAAACAATCGCCGTTAACTAGGTAAAAATTATAAATACGGGTTTAAAATTAAAATCAAATTGTTAATTTAATAAGTTAATATTAATAGATACTATACCAAGTCAATTATATTAGCATCATGGTCAATTTCGTATTTGAGTTTTTTAAGGAATTCCCTAAATCTTGAATGTGTGCTTGTGCTGTGTCGCATTGAATCTAGTTGAATCTTGGCAATCATATTATCATTGTCCTTTAAATGAGACCACATAATTTAAAAGAATTTAATGTTTTTAATTTGTAACATGCTAGGTCAAATAAGATTGATAATAACATACCATTTTTAAATAAAAACACTCGTCATCGACATTATAATTGGTGACAGCTCTCAGGCAGTGTATTTGTATGGAGCTATGCTTAATAAGTTTGATCCGATCCAGATCGTTTACTTCACTAAACTTGACCAGCTTTTTAAACAATTTGACCACGTACTTAATCTCGCTCTCCAATGTATAGTCCATCGCCTGATGTTTATCGGCCATAGTCTGCGGCGTGACAATTGGCCATGGTAGGCGAACGGAATTGATCATGGTGGTGGCGGCCGGTTTTGTCACGCTAAACAGCTCGTTCAGTCGACACAACTCGAGTTGGTTAAAGTTGTCGCCCGTTTTAGTGCCGGGCGTTGCGATCGGAATCACCGTTAGCTCCAATTCAACGGCTCTGACGTATATATTGGCGAATATATTGGTCAGGTTTTGCTCGCAGTATAGTATATAGTCGACAACATCGCACACATTGTAAAACGGCGCCGGACTTACTGTACAAATGGTATTGGTTGACGGGTCGGGCGTTGTTGACGTTACCACAGCTATTTCTGTGCCCGTACAACAGTGCTCCAGGTCACGTTTGATTTTATTGAATTCAATTTTTAGTTTACGTGTCTTCTTAGCTTGCTCGTTCCAGATCCAATCCTGTCAAGTAGGTTAAATTGTGTTATGATTAATAAATTATTAATAAAGTTAATTGATAGATTAACTTTAGATTTACCTTTCTCATTCCCATTTCATTGCATTTGTTGAGCCGGCAAAAGGAGCATAAGCGTCTCCGGTCAATGTTCATAACGCAACTACCCTGGTAACGACATTTGGTAAACTCCTGGTGGTTTAAATTAAATTGTATTCACATTAATAGTTAATATAAACTTTATATGTTTCAAGTTTTCACGAATTGATAAATAAATACTTACTTTATGAGCGTTTCTACGAAAGAATGCCTTACATGATTCACACGTTAGTGCATTAAAATTGTAACCTGGACATTAAAAAAACAATTCAATTAATACAAAGATTACACTTTTACAATTAAAATGACCATTGTAGATTTTAATTGTGACATACCTGATGCTTGATCCCCGCAGACAACACATAGTTTGTTATTGACTGTCCTGGGCATATTGAAATTTAGTGCAAAATAGTCACAAGTACTGTATTGTTACAATTGTAAATAAATGCATAATGCAATTTTTATTAATAATTTTGAAATGTGATGGCAATAGTGTCAAAATATAGACTATTTATAACTGTGTCAAACCATTTAAAGTGTATAACAAATGATGAGAGTAGTTAATTGCTTGATAATAATATGATTAGATTAAAGGTAACCAAAGTTACCACCATTTATTTAATCAAATGTTTTACATTGAATTAAAAAATGTGTCCGGATCAAATTGATTAAATATGTATAATAAGAATTGTTATTACAAGAATTCAACATAAATTCTGAAATGTACATAGATAATAACGTATAATTTTATTAATGTATAAAAGTTGTGCAAAATGTTCATTAATATATTTATTATTATTATTTTAACTTTGTTAGATAAACATGCTGATAACTTATAATAAGTAATGTATAAATATAAAAATAGTTTATAAAATTCAATTATAAGTTTACATTTATACATTTAAATTATATTTAATATTGTATACTTATAATAACTTTAAAACAAATAAAATATTATAACATAATGTATATAAGTATAATTTATTGTATTACTTTTATTTATAAAATTAAAGTACATTGGGTATATTACTGATTAACACATAAATGCGATAATTATTGTATTAAATACTTTCGTGAACTATAGACCTGATAATGAGGCCATTATTAGCTTTACATTCCGTGTCTTTATATTATAAAAATATAGTTTCAATTAATTAAAAAGTAATTTTATTAATGATAACAATATTCATAAGACATTTTAATTACGATAAAAATATTTACATTTATTTAGTACACGTTATGATCATTATTATAATTAAATATCATATAGGTCATTTATAAATAGTGAATATGATCAATTGTACAACTGAATAATTTTTAGTACACCTTCCCATCATTTATACCTCGATGGCAGGCGCCGACTCGGAATCAATAGTGATTACTTTATGGTCAATCTTATGTCTCTTAGTGTCATTAAAATCGGGATTTATAACGGGATGGAACTGATTGGCCCGGAAACTAAGGAAATTCTGTCGCACCCTATTCTCCAAATAAAACAAGTCGGTAAATGTGTTCAATAGGTTCAGAAATCGTCCGTTCGCTTCGCATGTTGTCGAATATTTCAGGTGTAAATACCGTTTCAATAAATACATGTATATTTTTTGCTCCATTCTATCATGATAATTATTAAAAATTAGTTAATACATGTTAATAATAGTTGTCACATATGAAATGACGGTGTAAAAACTTACTTGATAGTCTCTTTGTCAACTAAATCGTCGTGATCGGGATTAAATAGAACAATAGCGGTCATCTAGTTAATGTATGATAATAAAAATGTTAGTAAAATTGATCATGTTTTTAGTTAATGCTTTTTATGAAATACCAAATCAAGGACTCTGTGGTCGGAATCCATTTCATACTTCAATACTTTTAGATACTCTTTAAGTCGAGAATAAACTGACTCTGAATTTGTGCGGATATTTTCTAGTCTAAGCATTACTGTATTGCGACCATCCTGTAAATATTAAAAGTGGATCAATTAAAATCATGATGTAAAATCTAGCTATATTAGTAGGATAAACATACTAGCTTAATATTCCAGCTCTCGCTGTGCACATCAATTATCCGCCGGCTTGCGTACCATATTTAGACTTACGTACTCACGAATTGCTCAAATTACGCCAGGAGTAACGTCTACACCAATTTCGGCTAGTTGTAAAACCTGTTTGCATATTATAACGCCTAGACTTCCACGCATTTGGTGTCCAACGCGTAGAGTATGTCGTGCATAGTCTTGGCTTCAGTGGTCGGTCGGCACAGTTGACTCTCGATGTGTTTCGTGGCGTTGAACAGATCGTTAAGTCTAATGCACTCTAACTCGTTGTACGAATGGGTCAAGTCGTTGATCGGGTGGGCGATGGGAATCACCGACAGCTCCAACTCCACCGCCTTCTGGTAGATGGACGACGAGAAACGGGTAAAGTCTATGCCTATGCGGTGTGTGGTGTTAGCGGCGGCGGCGGTGCCGGAGTAGGCAAAGTCCAGTGGGTTGGGCGCCGCGGCGCTCATGGCGTTTACGATGGCGCCCATACCCGGGCATACGTTCACATCCCGACCGAACCCGAAACCAGGTATGAGTCCGGGCGCTGTGGGAGTGCCGATTGGTGGCGAGCCGTTCCCGACCACCAGTTCGCCATCGTATCACAGTAGCATCCACGCAAACAACGCCAAGACAAGTTAGAAGTACGCAGCTGTGAGAAAGCGGAGCAGTAAGGTCTAGGTGAGGAAATATATCATTAATAATCATGGTACGAGTAATACCAGTATTTGATCAGTGTAGTTATGATGGTAATTATTAGTGTGGGTGTATGGTGTGGGTTGGGGTGGTTGGTGTGTCCGTGAGCTCACCTTTTTCATTCCACATTCAATGCACTTATTTAGCCGACAGAAAGCGCACATTCGCCGCATCACTATATCGATGGCACAATTGGACTGGAATTTGCATTTTGGTATTTTCTAATGTAATTTCAATGAATATTACAATTGTTAATATTAATAGTACAAACTTGTAAATTGATTGAGTACAGTAAGTTTAAATAAGTATTTACACTAATAAATGTTAATTATGGTCATAAATTATTTTTGGATTATATTGTATAATGCACTCAACGTTCTCTAATTTTATTAGATTATAAGTACTTTGCGAACAGTTATGACAAAGTGTTGTCACACATGAAGTGTAACTTTAAGTGCATTTAAGGAGAGTTTAGTAGGACTTTGGGTTAAGTTATTCTGGAAACAACTTTTCTGAGTCATGCAAAACGATTCTAAATTCTTTAGGAATAAATATATTTATTTGCCATAACTAATTAAGATGTTACTAACTATGACAATGTTATTGTAGATATAATATTAGTGTATAATTAAATAATTTAAGACTAAATACACCTGAATTTAAGAGAGAGAGAGAGAGAGAGAGAGAGAGAGAGATTGGTGACTAATACTTCAATAAAAAGTGTACATACAATAAGTTTGAGATAATTATAAAATCATAAAACTTTGTAATATTTTATTCTAGAACTTCTATTACATAATAAGAAATTATTTTTTGGTTAAATTCAATATACATGTAATTCCCTGTTTTAATACAATAAAACAACTTATGAACTAATGGCAAATGTGTTACATATTTATTTGCAGCCAATAATACATATGTGGCACTAAATATCATATCTCTGCCACACAAACGCACACCTATTTTGCAGCGATAAAAAGTATATTAAATTCATTATATAATTCATATATTTGTTCATAATTTCAATATAATATGATTGGTTGCAAAATAGTGTTACAATATATTTGAGTACAAATAGATTATATAAGCGGTCGTTGTCTTAGAGACACAATATTGAGACAAATGTAGTCAAGGATTTCAATATATATTTTTAATATACACTGTTTTTTTCTCCGACCAGTCGTACTAAAGTCGATCTAATTGCGCTTGGTGTTCAACAAACAAGCAACAAGTTTAATTTATTTCTTATTTATTTAGAACAATTGAGTTCATACTATTTCAATGAATATGCCCAGGACTATTAATAATAAATATTGTGTGGTGTGCGGCGATAAAGCAACAGGTTTGTTTTATTCATACAATTATTGAATTTAATTATTATTATATTTATTATGATATTCCTATTTGAAAAACATATTGACATTAATATTGCTGTTTGTTTGCTGTTTACGAAAATAGGCTATAATTTCAATGCACTCACGTGTGAGTCGTGTAAAGCCTTTTTCAGACGCAATGCTCTTAAAGTAAGTCTTATATTACGACAAATATTTACAATTATTTACACATTATATCTGATATTATGTTTAGTATTCAGTTTAGTTATGGAAAGTTTTATTTATATTTATAACAAAACAAAATACTTTGCCTTCTTGGCCAACTCTCTCTCTCTCTCTCTCTCTCTCTCTCTCTCTCTCTCCCTCCCTTAAAAAGTGAACTAATAATTAAAAACATGATATAATATCACAAAAATTCTATCATATGATATGATTGCAAAGAATATAGCATTAAAAAGTTTTGTCTAAAATTATTTGGAATTATAAGTTCATATTATGATAAGAGTTAAGTATTTGTTTGTTAAGTATTTCATACCAGATATGAGTTATTAAAACACATTATGATAAGTTCTGTACCAATACAAACATATGCAATGTGTTATAAAGGGGGTCATATTTGTAATATAACTTGTAGGTTTATGCCAAGCGTACCGTATGTCCATGGTAATATGTATAGCTTATACATGAACATTTTGTTATAAGTTATAACTTATAACTTTGTTATGTGCTTTTTATCTCGGGTACATAAATATTAAACCTATTGTCCCTATGCTATAATTATGATAAATTTTGTGATTAAATCACTTATAAACTAAAGTATAACAAAAGCTCTATTAAATATAATATATAATTTGTTGTATATAACTTATTTCATAAACTTTATCAAATAAAACTCTGTGTGTGNTAATATTCACTTTAATTACGGAAAGTTTTATTTTCATTTATAACAAAACAAAATACTTTGCATTCTTGACCAACTCTCTCTCTCTCTCTCTCTCTCTCTACTATCTCTTTAGCTTTCGATCGGCCGGACTATTGTCTCCTCCCCCACCCCCTTAAAAAGTGAACTAATAATTAAAAACATGATATAATATCACAAAAATTCTATCATATGATATGATTGCAAAGAATATAGCATTAAAAAGTTTTGTCTAAAATTATTTGGAATTATAAGTTCATATTATGATAAGAGTTAAGTATTTGTTTGTTAAGTATTTCATACCAGATATGAGTTATTAAAACACATTATGATAAGTTCTGTACCAATACAAACATATGCAATGTGTTATAAAGGGGGTCATATTTGTAATATAACTTGTAGGTTTATGCCAAGCGTACCGTATGTCCATGGTAATATGTATAGCTTATACATGAACATTTTGTTATAAGTTATAACTTATAACTTTGTTATGTGCTTTTTATCTCGGGTACATAAATATTAAACCTATTGTCCCTATGCTATAATTATGATAAATTTTGTGATTAAATCACTTATAAACTAAAGTATAACAAAAGCTCTATTAAATATAATATATAATTTGTTGTATATAACTTATTTCATAAACTTTATCAAATAAAACTCTGTGTGTGTTCTGTCCTTATGTGCGGACAATAATGAATCTAATGATAAACATGTTTTTATAATCATTTAATTGGAAATGCATAAATATTGCATGGTTAATTACAAAACAATCTCCTAATGAATTATTACCCATTTTATCAATTGAAAACATTACCAGTGGTTTCATTTTTATACATGATATACTAAAATAGGTAATATAAATTTAGCATATATAAATGTAGTTAACAGTTTACTGTTAAAATACTTTATAAAAATGACCAGATATAGCTTAAGACTTTAGATTGTGATTAGAAATACCATGTTAGTTTGATTTATTTGGTACACTTATTTAATTTGTAGATATTTCTAAATTCTAAATTAAGTGCAATTAAGTGAATAATTGTGTACTATTAATAAAACATCCTATGCTATCATGATATGCGATAAAATACTGTACAGTTGCTAATATAAATATATATCCTAAAGTGATTTCATCTATTAAAAAATTGTTTACAATTTTGATAATATTGGAAATATTTATGAGTATGGTAAACAATTTTAAACATGATTAGAATTTGATACAAATTGTCGAATTTATGTTAAATTTAAGCAATTGTAATAATCTGTTTCGGACTAATTACATTATTTAAAATGCATCGTATTATGTACTGTACATTAAAGTTTTCATTTACAACTTTTAGAGTATACGGGGTTAAATTATTTATACCATAATGTATCGATGTATATAAGAGTAAAACCAATTATTTAGATTGTATTTATCAAAGCAAATTTTAAATGTTCAACATATTAATAATATAATAAACCAATGTCTAAATTATATATACATGTATTATCAATTAATTATAACTTATTAATTATTATTAAACAATATTAAATGCGTGGGTGTTGTGTGACAAAGTTTGCACTATAAATGAGCTAGATGTGGTCAGATGACAGAAATGATATGACATAAACTATTGGACAAACAATACTTGGACAAAGTTGCATAATAAAAAGAGTTGCACATTTGAAAAGCATAATAAAAAGTAAATTAATTGCATTCTGGTGGCTATGATATAATTTATATATATAAACATAACTGTTTTACATTTCATGGCAATTATACTTGTTAATATTATTGCTTATATTGATTATATTTACAAAAAAGTAAAAATAATGACTTAAAACAATTTACAGTTTTGCATAGTATTAATATAAATACAATATTAATTAAACATTAAAGTCCCATGTACAATTATTTTATATAACACAACCCAACATATTATTCTTTAGTAGTAAATTAATAATTTATAAATCTAATAAAATAATAATGTTCGTTTTGATATTAAATATGTATGTAACTAAAAATTTATGATAAATAATAATAATTATTATAACAAATACTTTGTATTATAAAGTTAACTATAAATGTTAAAGCAAAATAAAATGATGATAAAAATTACAAAACATTTATTGTGTAACAATTATTTGAGTCTAGATTATAATTTACAGTATTATCGCAATACATAATCTCGTCGATGAGCTCCGACTTGTGATTACGTGGCCTTCCGGACACTGTTTTGCGTATCTTATCATTAAAAGCGCCCAAAAATATCAAACTATTTAAAAGTCTCAAAAACTTTCCGTTCGCTTCGCATATCGAGCTGTACTTTATTTGTAGATAACGTTTCAATAGATGCATGTATATTATTTGCTCAGTCCTGTATAATTATGATGGTGATTTATTAATTATTGTGATATTTGTTTGTGGTAATTGTAATTAATTTGTGTAGTTTATTGTGACCAACCTAATTGCATCTCGGTTGACTAGTCCATAGATGTCAGGGTTGAACAGAATTATAGCCGTCATCTGTTGAAGTAATGGAATATTATTTATAGTTAATTATTTAAAAATAAATGTACCTAGGTTAATTGGTTAATGTTCTAGCTATAATCTTGTTTTAGAAAATATTATTAGACATTTACAAGATTTTTACTTACCATGTCTAATATACGATTATCAAGCTCCATTTCTTGTTTTAACTTCTTAAAATACTCAATAAGCTCTAGATAGTAATTGTCGTTTTCTTGCATTATATTAAGCTGAACTTTAATAATACTGTTTTCATTCTATATTAGAAATTAATGCAAATTTTAAATCATAATCAAATAAAATAAAATACTAATAAATGGTATACCAATTCAATATTCCAGCACTCGTTATATTGGTCAAAATATGTGACCGACCTAAATTTATAAATCATAACACTGCCGTGTTTGACCAGGGTGTGACGATCTTGTTCGCAAATGTCATTAAAGCACATGAGCATTTTAAACGATTTGATTAATTTTCTCACTTCCTGTTCAAACTTAATGTCTAACGTATGGAAATAGTCGTTGACTGTCGTTATTTGCGATGTGTAGGCCTTCATGTGATTCTGCAATAGTTTGGCCGCGAATAGCAATTCAGTGAACCGATTGCCCTCCGACTCAGTGAAGGTGTGGCCGAAGTGTAGGTGAGGTCTGGACACCGGTGTGACCGACATCTCCATCTCGACGGCCTTCCGGTACACCTCATCACTGATGGAGGTCTGTGTCGGTGTCTGATCGCCGATACTGTCGCCCGAGTTGTCCGATGATTGACTGTTACTATGGCTGAAGTGATTGTTACCACTCTTTGTCATAATTGATAATATGAATGATATGTTTGCCGATTGATTGATGACATCCGAGTCAAGTGGTGAATCAGCTCCGGTGGCGAAGACTGTGGTCGACGATACAGTGTCTGTAGATTTAATGTTTGCCTGTTTTTGTTGCATAAGTTGACGTCTGTATCGATTCATCTCGATCTTCATTTTCCTGCATTCCTTTGCCTCTTCATTCCATATCCATTCCTATCATATTTTAATTGTGTTTTTTGTAAATTATACTTTATTATTATCTAGATTATTTTGTGTGCAGAATTGCATCAAGAGTATTTAATTTTAAGTTAATTCGGTATAATTATTTATGACATGCATTTTAGTAACAATACTAATTAATTAAATATTTTAACCATAATTAATGTATACAGTATTATAATATTATACTGTAAATGAACTTATAATATAAAACCGTTGTTAATCCTATTGCCTAAACTGGTTAGTGGAGTACTACATTCGTACCTAGATTTTCTATACACAGTAATATAAAGTATTCAAGAATATTCTGTACAAACCTTTTTCATTCCGGTATTGAAACACTTTTCGAGTCTACAATAACCACATATTCTTCGTGTACTTAAATTGATTACACACTTGCCTTCAACACTACAACTTTTGATACCCTGTTAAATATTGCAATAATTTAACAATATAAGTCATAATAAATTTACAATAGTTATTACAATTTACCTTAATTGCATTGCGTCTAAAAAATGCCTTACAGGATTCGCACGTGAGGGCATTGAAATTATAGCCTAGTGCATTTTTAAATAAATAAATACAAATAAGTGTATCAAATATAATAGTTAAAATAAACCTTGTTTACAGTACCTGTTGCGATATCGCCGCATATTGTACACTCTCTTAGTTCTTTTTCTTTACTTTTTGGCATGTTTATTTTAAATATTGTAAATATTAGCGTAATATAAAAGTATAAACGTTAAAGTAATGTTGAAAATGACACAAAAAATTAATGGAAACCATTAAAAAATTATTGCAATATATTGAATAAAATATGTTTATACACACTCCAAGTAAGTGATCATTAGAAAAGTGCATTGGTAATTAATGTTTCTATAGTTACCTTCTGTTATATACAGCGCCCCACTCTAAACGTCCTGAACTTTTTTAATACATTATTTACAGTGCGTGGCATTTAAATAGTATCAATAGTATTATAAATTATAATATATTTATCTATGATAATCAATGTGAACTATCAACAAAATAAAGTTTATTTTATAACATTCTTACCAACACAAATTATTTACTAGAAACTCATTTAGTTAAATGAATATAGTTTTCAACTACATTAAGTTATATTGAACACGGCCATATATAAAATACAAAATTAAGTCTATTAATAGCTACATTTCTTTATTTAAAAGTAATTTATTTAAATCCACATGATTATTTAATCTAATGATATGTGTATACATTAGGAATCGCCAGGACTTTTATATTAATGAATTATAATACACTATAAAGATTACCATTTAACTAATCATTACCTGCCCTTGAAATATAAGTGAATGGGTTTAAAGCGCAAATCATTTGTGTTGAAAATAAATATGAATCACAAATTTCATTAAACCCCACCACATATTAGTGCACATTATATATGAGTAAAATATTAATTATAATCCTAGAAGTGATTCTAGGCTTTTGTTAGTATACATTCACTAATCAAATGTATAATATTCTTATCAAATAACTTATCTGGAAAATAAATTATTTGAATATTTATTATTAAATATTGCTGTTGTACGTTTTGCACCAGGATGCAAATGAGCTCGTTAAGTATAAATGTAATATTATTATTATAATATGCAATCAAATATCAAGTCCTTAAAATCTGATTATATTTAATCGTAATTTAAGTTTTGATTAGCAATTCAAATAATTATGAACTTTAGACACACCTTATATTGTATTAATTTTAGAATTTGTTTAATTACTATAATGTTATGTTTTTTACAATTAAATATTTTCCTAATATTTTCCTAATATAATAAATAATTTATTATATGACCATGTTGCAAATTAGTATTATGTGTTGATGACCTCCCGGAGCAGTGGTGGGAGCGGAACCTGTTGTCTCTGCAACGCGTATTGTTTGCATCTCATATCCAAGTAATACAAGTCTATTAATGTATTCAATAAACGCATAAACTTCTCGTTGGCCTCACTTTCGGTCCCGTATTTCATCATTAAATACCGTTTAAGTAAATGCATGTAAATGTGTTGCTGTAGTCTAACCGTACAAATCAATTTTTAATTAATTAAAATTTTCAATTTATTTTAAATAAAATACTCGTTTCTGACATACTTTACGGTATCTCTATATTTAAGTCCCGGACGATACGGATTGAACAATACTATTGCTGTCATCTGTATGTGAATATAGAAATATTACATAATTATTAATATATTAATTATAGTTTTGTATTTATATTTAATTGTGTTTTCATACAATGTTTAAGACGTTAAAATCGGATTCAATCTCGATGTACATTTTGTTTGCGTATTCAATGTATAATACATGGGATTCAACGTCCGGCTCAACCTCTCGGACATAAGCGGTGCTTAAGACTAAAGCAGTTTTATCGTCCTGTTTAGAAATATATTAATTAATTAATTATATGTAAAGGTAGAATAGAATAAACCAAGTAACATATTTTTAAAGGGTTTCTCAAACGTTCAGGTAAATAATCAGGAAATACATAATATCTTTAATACAAATAATTATTTATAAATTATAATAATAATCAATAGAAAACATATATTGTTTGTATGAGTAAAAGACAACTTAATACTAGGGATTTGATTAAATGTTAAATCATATTTTGTGTCAATTCACAGGATTTGAATGAAGTTTTTAGGAAATTCATTTGAATAAATTGAATGAAAAAAGTTATTGAATATAAATTAAATCTTAACAAAAATTACTATCTGATTAAATAACTATAGATGACCTAGACATTAATTTAGCTTATTTTTAATTATTAATATTGAAAATAAACATTTAATTATTGCTATTACAGTGAGAATGGTTTGTCTTAACACAATTGTATTGCAAACTGTCAACAAATTACTAAAGGTTAGTTTAAATCACAAACATAATAGCACTCACAACAATTGTAGACCAGCTTTGATTATCATAATCAAAATACGTGATACAGCGAAGCGCGTGTACCTCTAATGAACCACATTTAAGCAAAATGTATTTATCATGCTCACATATCTCACTAAAACCTATTAATTTGCGACAAACTCTGGCCAAGTATTTAATATCGATTTCTCGCTGAATGTCCGAGATTTTCATAAAGTCTTTGTATGTCTTAACCGGTAATGTATTGATATTTCTCGATAACTGAGTCTCCGGTTTATTCGTGGCGTTTAAGAGTTTACGAAAGCGATTGCCCTCTAATTCATTGAATATATTGCGATCAGTGATGGGACGGGCGATAGACATGACATTCATTCCCAGTATAAATGCCTTCTCGTATAACATCTCATTTATATCACCGCTCGGTATGAGTGATAACTCTGTAAAATCATCGCCACAATTGTCTGTATCATTGGATTCATCGATGTCGGATGTGCACAATGTTGTACCATGTTTGTTTTCATTTTCTTTGTCATGTTTTTTGCGTTTTTGTCGATTTAATTCAATGATAGATCGCCTCCAATATCGCGCCTCCTCTGACATTATTATCTCCTGTCAAATGAAACAGTAATTTATTAGTTTTAAATCGCTTTTAACTTTATTTCAAAAATGTGTTATAATTACGTTAATTTATTTATAGTTAATTTCTTAATATACTTTATTAATTTTTATGTAATTGCAATATTGTAATAACTATTGTCGCATACAAAGTAAATGTATAAATGTAGATTATTATTTTTTTCCAAAAGAAATCTATAAGTTTCTGTTAGTATTTAAAATGTTAAGTTTCGATATAAACAAAATACCGATAAAATATCATTTATTAATTCTTACTTTTTTCATTCCATAAGCGAGACATTTATTAATTCTACATTTGGCACATGTTTTACGAGTTTTTAATGTTATAATACAGTTATTCGTACCGTTTTTACACTTGAGGTCCTTTAATAAATTAAAATGGCATGTTACTTTTTTCTTAATGTGTAAAAATAAATTTACATATATCTAATAATATATTTATACCCTCCATGCATTTCGCCTAAAAAAGCATTTACACGATTCACACGTTAAGACATTAAAATTGTAACCTGTGTATTAAATAATGAATTTGTTAAATTATTGTAAATGATCATGTTTTAATTATTATAAATATTAAATAATTTATATTACCTATTGCTGTATCACCACACACAAAACACAATCTTGAGCTTGTATCCATTAAATTGTACTATTTATTGTAATTAAATAATTATTAATAAAATCAATTGGAACTATAAGTTTAATATAAGTTAATTTTTAACAAGCAAAATAATCATATTTATATTTAGCTGTCAATTTGATAGCTGTTAATATTGTTATGTTTCAATGGCAACCTTAATGTGATAATTATAAATCAAAACTACTTACCAAGTACTGTATGCAATTACCGGTGTACTGTATGTCGCAAATGTACATAGTACTGTTACCTTATTTAATCTGCATGAAAATGCGCATACCTCGCATGTATTGTGCAATCGTAAAAATGTATTTACTTATCATGAATTCAGAGAAAAGCACTTGTATTCTCGCCTGTACTTCAAATCTATGTACTTGTCAAGGGCACTTATCAATCTATTAAGAATATTTATTTATTGTACTTGCTTATGTTAAAGAGAGTTTCTATGTGGTAGAATTGCGAATTAATTATTATGCTTACTGGTTAGATCAGTCATTTATTTACAGTATGTAAAATTATTTTACAGTAAATATTGTAAATTTAAATTTTGAAATTTTCTGTTAATATATTTTCTTTATAATCTATTTGATCAAAAATACATACCCTAAAAGTTTGGTACATTGTACATTATTATTGTCAATGATAATTTGTCGTACAGATTGTCACACAATTTGTCACATAAATTATAATTAATATAAAGATAAAAATTACTTTACTATTAATAAAAATTACTTAAAATCTCCCCACTTATAAATTTCAATCTGTTTTCTAAATAAACGTAATAGTTCCAAATAATTTATTATCAAATAATATATATTGTATATATGTTTATGTAGAATAATTTTTGATCGTGCTTGTTTAAAAACTAATTCATCTGAAAAACATATCTGAAAATAATAAATGGCTTCAAAAGAAATCATTGCAGGTATTCATAGAATAACCAATTTTTTTTGTGACAAATACTATCGATATTTCACAGAAAATCTTTGTTTGTAGTATAAGATTAAAGTAAACAATATCATCAAACACTTACTAAATGAATGTGGTACTTTATTATAATTCCAGGTAAATTATATCGTTGACCAAAAAAATTAATGGTGATTTTAATTGATTAAAATTGAGTTTATACTTGTATGTGTTTTATTAAAATAAAATATATGCATTCTTAAACAATAAATAAGTTAAGATGTAATTATAATAAGCATGTGGTCAATTAATATTATGTCTGTATGATCTCCCGGAGCAGTGGTGGGAGCGGATGGTATGGTCTCTGCAACAGTGATTGTTTGCATTTCATATCCAAGTAATACAAGTCTATTAATGTATTTAATAAACGCATAAACTTCTCGTTGGCCTCACTTTCGGTCCCGTATTTCATCATTAAATACCGTTTAAGTAAATGCATGTAAATGTGTTGCTGTAGTCTAACCGTACAAATCAATTGTTATTTTAAATATATTTAATAAATATAATATAAGTTTAATTAATGACATACTTAACGATTGCTTTGTATTTAAGTCCCGGACGATAGGGATTGAACAATACTATTGCTGTCATCTGTATTTGTACAAAAAGAACATAGGTTAATTATTATGGTATAAGTTAATTTAATTAAATGCTATTTGTTACCATGTTTAAAATTTGATCATCTGACCCAATCTCGACAAACATTTTGTTTGTATAATTTAGGAATATATTGTGGGTCTCAATGTTGGGCTCAACTTCTCGGACAAACTCAATGCTTAGAATCATTGCATTGTTATCATCCTGTTTAATAATAGTGCAATTTGCTTAATTACTTGTCTACCTTATATTAATTACATAATGGCTATCAAGTATTATTTAATCATTTACATTTACATAAATGTAAAATAATGTAGTAAAACATTATTATTATTTTAATGAAAGACAACTATTAAATTGAAAACAATTGACACATTCAATGGCAAGAGTAAGTTATTGTACAGTATTAAGGGCTATTTTTAGTAATAATTGATTGAATGACAGTATAATGTCTGAAGATTTGGATAATGACGAGAGAGAGAGAGAGAGAGAGAGAGAGAGAGAGAGAAATATATTTTTCTGGACTCAAGATTTTAGTCTCTCTAAAAGTGAGAGAGAGAGAGAGAGAGATTCTTTATGAGAGTTACAGTATATCCTTTGTTATATATTGACATGTGTTTTTTAATATACTGTATATTTTCTAAAAAATTAATACAGTAATTTGATTGACATTGAAATAATTACAAATTTTTATTCTAACTCAATTGACCTAGACATCAATACTATTTTACTATGATTATATTATTTAAATTACTTAGGAATTACAATTATATTACAGTACATACCAATGGTGTGGTCCAACTCTGATGATCATAATTAAAATAAGTTATACAGCGAAGCGCGTGCACCTCTAATGCACCACATTTAAGCAAAATGAATTTATCATGCTCATCAATCTCCTTAAAGCATGATAAACTTCGACAAACTCTGGCCAAGTATTTAATGTCTATTTCTCGCTGAATGTCCGCAATTTTGACGAAATCATTGTATGTCTCAACCGGTAATGTATTGATATTTCCCAATAACTGATTGTCAGTTATATTCATAGCTATTAACAGTTCCCGAAACCGATTGCCCTCTAATTCATTGAATATATTGCGATCAGTGATGGGACGAGCGATAGACATGACATTCATTCCCAGTATAAATGCCTTCTCGTATAACATCTCATTTACATCACCGGTAGGTATAAGTGATAACTCTGTAAAATCATAGCCACAGTAATCGCTATCATTGGACATAATGTGTACGTTTGTATCGGTGCTGGAGATGGTGTCAGTGGTGGACATCACTTCATGACGTTGTGTTGATTTTGTCTCAGATTTAATACAATCCTTATTATACTGCGAATTAATGTGACGTTTAATACGTTTTCTGCGATTGAATGCAATGATAGACTGTCTCTGATTGCGCGCCTCCACTGACATTATCATCTCCTGTATAATTAGGAGTAAATTATTATATTAATTATTATTTATTAATGATAATTTATAATTAGTGTTTTTTGAAATGTTTTATTTTTCCTTTAACTGTTAATTAAGTTTAAATAACTAGAATACTTAATGGTTGTGTTAAATTTCGTGAATAACTTACAATATACATGTACGTATGTTAAGCTTTTATTATAATTTATAAATGTGTACTAGATCACATTTATTTACCTTATAAAATTTACGTAAAATTACAACCTTTTTAAAATATTTATAAAAATATTTATTATGTAATAATGTATTAATGTTACTAAAATGAAATAAAATTTTCATAATTACTTACCCTTTTCATGTAATTAGCAAAACACTTATTAAGTCTACATTTCGGACAATTCTTGCGAGTATTTACGTTTATTGTACACTTATTTGTGCCAATTTTGCATTCTAGATCTTTCTGTAAAATAAATATAACATGTTGATACAATCATTTCAATTTATAAAATGTTATTTATACCCTCCACGCATTTCGTCTAAAAAAGCATTTACACGATTCACACGTTAAGACATCAAAATTGAAACCTTAAATAAAATTGAAATTAAATGGTTTTCATAAATAACTTTATTAAAAATTATTCAAAATAAAGTGCAATATGTAAATTAAATAATACACAGTAAATTAAAATGCAATTATTATTCATATATTTTACTTACCAATGCCTTTATCGCCACAAACGAAACATAACTTTGGACTAGCGTTTGTATCCATTAGTTTAGTATTATTTTTACACAATTCCAATAAATATTATTAATATATACTTTTAATTGAAACTAAATTTTCTGAACATACGAAGTGTTTATTATACAAAATAATATCACATTTTATATAAATGTTGATAAAATATTGCGTTTCAATGACAACATCAATGAAAGATTTAGGTGCGTTTAAATTATACGTTATAATAAATACTAAAATATTAAACAACTAGGCATGTTTCTAAGGTATGAATGAACCAACTGAACATTGTATCATGGCAGCTAATTCAATTTACATGTATTCATTCACACATTGAATCCGTTACATTGATATACAGTACATTGAAATGTTGTGAAATAATGTAAAAGTCGATACACAAAATCGCACATGTATTCTAGTCTAGTTGATGGACTTTCCAAGGATATCTATTTACAAACTAAATACAAACTAGTTAATAATAATCTAATTATTTAGTTGGTTTTGCACTATTTGAGTAAATGATGTTTATTATTATATTTAACTAAAGTATATGCAGTTTATCTGACTGTGAAAATTATTATATTTTAATTAATAAATAAATCCCGATATTTTGTTGTCAATAATATTTAGGTCCAAAAATTATTATTACTATTATTATAAAACCATAATCAAAATGAAAAATATATTTATATAAAATACAGTAAATTAAAATAATTAATTAAATAAAATATTGTAATAAAGTTAAAAGATATTGAATATTATATGGATTTCTCCCATAGGAATACATTATGACTGTATAATTTACTGTATAAAAGCTAAATTATTTTAACTTTATGAAAATTAGTTTCTGATGCCTAGGATTGTTAACTTACATTACAACATTATTTCCCTTAAAATAACTCCACTAAATCTGTACGAAGACAAACATGTATGAAGTGAGTTAGTAAATAAAAACCACAAAATACACCTTTCTGAAATAAAGTAGATATTATTATGAGTTGTTTTGTTTTACTATTGAAGTATATTATAAATAATAAATGCACTAAAACATATGCAATCAATAAATATGTTTATCTAATGGTTTTTTAAGAAAATACACTTAAACCATATTTTTGTTCATTAATACATAAATAATTTATAAGTGTAAGGAAGAAATAAAAGTTTCAAAATAAACAATTTTTAACAAATAATATTTTTATATAAGTAAGTGTTAACTTAAGATTAAAACAGCTAGGTTTATATGTGATTAAAATTGGTGTTTTATTAAAATAAAATATATGCATGTTTGAATTATAAATAAATTACAAGTAGCATTTAATTGTAATAAGAATGTGGTGAATTAGGATGATGTCTATATGACCTCCCGGACCAATGCTGGCAGTGGTCTCTGCAATAATGATTGTTTGCATCTCATATCCAAGTAATACAAGTCTATTAATGTATTCAATAAACGCATAAACTTCTCGTTGGCCTCACTTTCGGTCCCGTATTTCATCATTAAATACCGTTTAAGTAAATGCATGTAAATGTGTTGCTGTAGTCTAACCGTACAAATCAATAGTTATTTTAAATATATTTAATAAATATAATATAAGTTTAATTAATGACATACTTAACGATTGATTTATATTTAAGTCCCGGACGATAGGGATTGAACAATACTATTGCTGTCATCTGTATTTGTATAAAAAGAACATACAGTAGGTTAATTATTATTGCTATACAGTTATAATTTAATAATTAATTTAAATTATATATTGCCTACCATGTTTAAAATATTAGAATCGGACTCAATCTCGACATACATTTTGTTTGTATAGTTCATAAATAATTCGTTGGTTTCATTGTTGGGTTCAATTTGTCGGACAAAATCAATGCTTAGAATCATCGCATTCTGATCATCCTGATTTCATATTAAAGTTTGAGTAGTTGAATTAATTTATTTTGTTATGGATATCGTGAAACTGATACATAAATTGTTGCATATTATTCAGCTTTTCTATAAGTTAAATTAATGTTACATTACAGTACATACCAATGGTGTGGTCCAACTCTGATGTTCATAATTAAAATAAGTTACATAACGAAGCTCGTGCACCTCTAATGCACCACATTTAAGCAAAATAAATTTATCATGCTCATCAATATTTTTAAAATATAATAAATTCCGACAAACTCTGGCCAAGTATTTAATGTCCAATTCTCGTGAAATATCCGCAATTTTGATGAAATCATTGTATGTCTCAACCGGTAATGTATTAATATTTCCTGATAACTGATTATCCTTTTTCATAGTTATTAACAGTTCCCAAAACCGATTGCCTTCTAATTCATTGAATATATTGTGATCAGTGATGGGACGGGCGATAGACATGACATTCATTCCCAGAATAAATGCCTTCTCGTATAGCATCTCATTTACATCACCGGTAGGTATAAGTGATAACTCTGTGAAATCATAGCCACAGTTATCGCTATCATTGGACATAATGTATACGTTTGTATCGGTGCTGGAGTTGGTATCAGTGGTGGACATCACTTCATGACATTGTGTTGATTTTGGTTCAGATTTGATACAATCCTTATTATACTGTGATTTTATGTGACGTTTAACGCGTTTTCTGCGATTGAATGCAATGATAGACTGTCTCTGAGAGCGCGCCTCCACTGACATTATCATCTCCTGTTGAATTGGGGTTCAATTTATATATAATATTAATTATCATTTATTTTTAACATGTTTTATTTCTCTTTTAAATGTTAGTTTATTTTCAATAACTGAAAAACTCAATGGTTGTGTTAAATGTCGTAAATAAATTACAACAGATGTTATGCTTTTATTGTAATTTATAAATGTCACTATGTCAAATCTACATTATAACTTGCTTTATAAAATTTACGTAAAATTACAACCTTGTTTATGTGAATATGGTTGTTTTACTGTTGCTAACTCTTGTTATTGTTAAAGCTAATATTATTAGCTATGTTTATCAAAATACTTACGATTAATATATTTTTAGTGTCCGACTCGGATTTTAATTTAATTGCGATATTCAAAGAGTTTAGGGCATATAAAACACAATTATGTACTTTTTTAGAGATGGCATTCACTTTGGGAGGCATGAGAGGGGGTCATATATTTTATATTTCTTATAGGTATTCAAATAAGGCAGTTAGTTCTTAT